GAACTTTTTCACAGAAACAGTTCTGGGTAGAACATATTTACAAACAAAGAAGAGTTTTTATCTCGATTGCAAAATGTTTTTTGTGACGTTTTGCTCTGATTATGTTGTTCTTTCAGTAAATCATTTTTTTTTCAGTCTGTATTCTCTGGTTAACGATTAATCGATTATAAAAATTAGCTGAAAGTTATTTCAATAATCAATTCATCACAATTAATCGCAATTAATCCTGTTTTATGCTAGTAGCACAGTTGACGTCACACACTGTAAAACACTTCTGCTGTTTTAAAACATATGCAGACATTACAGAGTTTAAGTTGTAAACTGTTCGTAGCGTCTTGGTATCGTTTGCACGCCCATCTTTTCTGAAATCAGGCTTTTCTAAAGAGCTAAACGAAAAAACAGAGCAACTTTGCTGTACTCTCTTTGGCCTTCCTGTTATCTGTTGAAGATCTTACTCTTTGGGTTTTTTATCAGGCTGATTGAGCGTGTGATTGGCCGATTTCTACAGATTACCAACAAAATCAAAAGCAATGCTAACTTTGTGCAGACTGTGACTCTTTCCTTTTCTGCTATTTTTTTTTATTTCAACTAAAATATTTATGTGGATACCATTTAATCTTTCTGCTTATGGCTGCAGCTAATGATTATTTTAGTAAGCGATTATTCTGGCAGTTATCTGGATGATTAATCGAATAAAAAATTGTCACATTCTACAGATGTTTCTTTTAACCACTGAAGCCTTTTTACATCTGGTTAGAAATATTAGATTATGCAAATAAACAAATAATTCAATTCCGTTTTGCACAATTTTCACTTAATTTCTGCTATGAATGTTTTTGTTTTTTTTAGCAAATCGCCTTTTTTCCGACCGCATGTCCATTAATCAGTTATTAAATTAGTTGACGTCTACATCACTAATCAATTCATCATGATAAATCGTTTCTGTCCTACTTTGGCTACATCGTCTTTTAGAAATCCATTTCTGTCTGACTTCTTTTTTTTAAAAACATTTGTTGTCAAAGCTGCGGTGCCACTGTCACTGTTTGTGTGTTTTGCAGATGCTTTGACGCCGGCGTCCAGCCCGTCCTCCGTTGTTTGCGGGATGGCTCCCACCCAGGAGGAGCTCTTATCTCCCTCCTCTTCGCTCAATCTGGAGTGCCGCGTGTGTTCTGACCGGGCCTCGGGTTACCACTACGGCGTTCACGCCTGCGAGGGCTGCAAGGTGAGTCGCTGCATCGTTAGCGAAGATGTTGGTGAAACATTAGCAACCGAGTCCTGACTGAACCGAGTCCTGACTGAACCGAGTCCTGACTGAACCGAGTCCTGTCTGAACCCAGTCCTGTCTGAACGTCCTCTTTGTTTTTGTTTTCTTTTTTTTGCTAAATGATCAAACCCAATGAAGCGACTAAGAACATTAGGAAAGCTGTATAGCAGCGCTGTCGACCGCTCTGCCTCCAGAACCTGTCCTGTGACTCGTGTGTTGATGTAACTTCTAAAGCATCGGGCTCGGCTTCACTTGGACTCGCTCGCTAATCTCTCTGTTAATTGTTCACTAGCCTCGCTGAAGAATGACCCGGGGCTGTTTCTGACAGAAAACAAAGGACAACAATAAGAAACCTTTCAATCTTTTTGAACTTTAGTCGCAGTGAGACGGCTCTGTGTTCAGGTTCAGCTTTCTATGTGAAATGTCAGTTAATAAAAGGGATTTTTATAGCTATTTACAACTAATGTGTGTAAATATAGGTAAATACAGATGAATGCAGGCTTTAGCAATTAGCAGTGGGTATTATGTTTTTTTTGTTTTTCTTACAAAATTTTAAACAAATGCCATGCTCCCAGATCATGCAATAAATGCATAATCCTTTTCAGAAGTTTGGTTTTTCTTTATTTTAAAACCTAAAAATATGAATAAATATATTGTTCTTTAACTACGACAAATTCCCAATGAAGGTCAAAAATGAGGTCTTTTGTCTAAAAGGTAAGGTAGTGGTTGTGGCTCTAAATAAGTTTCACTTTACCAGACTAAGGGCAAAATTATCTTATTGAATTGTAAAGGTTGCAGACCTCTGGTCTAGACCTCCATCATACTGAGACGAGTTTGTGGCAAGACTTGAAAACTGGTGTTCCCACAGACTTCCCCTCCAATCTGACTGGGCGTTATTTACATTACAATGTAAAATGGGGGATAAACTTCCAGCTACAAACCTCCTAAAATGACTTCCAGTTGTTGTTCTGTTCAGTTTCTGCAAAGCACTGCAGAAATATATATATAAGAACAGGTTAAAAAGATGTATTTGTCTCACTCTACACCCATTACAATAAACTAAAGTTTCTGGTTGCAACGTAGAAAATGTGTAAGGTATTTGTCTGTCTGTGTGTGTGTGTAGAGGTGAGCATGTGTGGTTTTGTGTTGTAAAACAGCTCATCCCAGAAGCCATAGGTGAACTCGATCACTTTAACCTCTGCCTGTAGTAGAAAGTCACGTGTAGGAAATATGTTACGTGACGCTGCAGAAACACACACCACCTTCGCTTTGCTGAAGTAAACCTGACCTGATCAAAGCCAGCAAAGGCAGAAGTGCAGCTGATCTTAACCAAACCGTCTCTCTGTGGTTTGTTTAAACCTTCAGTGACGTCTAAAAATCATTAAGATGCATCTCATTTACATGACATTGTTTTGTTGCTAAATAAACCCACACGCCGTCTTTTTCCATCAGTCGATACTGAGTCAGATCAGTCCTGAAAACCTTCTTTATTTCGGGTTTTAAACTTACAACTGCAGATCAAACGGCTTCATCTGACAGGCCGGTTTGATTGAAGCTCTGATTTCATGCAGATTTTTAATAATAAGCAATAGAAAAGCATGTGCAAACATCACAAATGCTAGTTCTTTAATGGGATTTTTATCTCACAGACCAATGCAAGGTCATGTCTTATAGTGTGACGAAAAGAATAACTGGTTTTCAGATTTTTTTTATTTTTTTTTGCTAAAAAAAAATCTTTTAAGTGTGGCATGCTTCTATATTTACCCCCACAAGTCGACACTTTTTAAAGCCACCCTTTTCTACAAAATCGGCTTCAATTTGCTTCTTCTTTGTAAAATTGTTCAAACTCGGTCAGATTGAATGGAGCACGATTGTTAACATTCGATTTCAAGACTCACCACAAATTGTCATTTGGACTTTAACTGGGCCATTTCACACCACCTGCTGCCGCCTTCTCATAGAAAAATCTTAACTCAATACTGACGTTTTGGGTCGATTTGACTCAAAAAGCTCGAGTGGTTTGCGCTTGTCCGCTTGACTCCAGCTTCTACCAGCGCTTCTGCACGTAGCCGGTAGGTAGGTGAAAGTTTGATGCCTGCAGGAAGAACATTCCTGTGTAAAACGAGCCGGCGGTCACACAAATAGACGCCCCTGGTTTGGATTTTTGACCGCAGCGGAGAAATGCGACTCCCTGTGATGTCAGCACACTGACCGGTTATGACACCGGACACGAGCAGCGTTGGCTCGCCGTCTTCTAGGGGCGGGGCTGAAGTGCTGTCCCGGCGCCTTTGTTTCGTGTCGGTCTGGGTTCGCATGTGACCCGACGGGGTTAGTGGGGGAGAGTCATTCAACATGGGCTGAACACGCTGGTCGAACGTCTCAGTAACCCGGGGTGACCTCTCGCTTTCTGACCATTTCTGTGCCTTAACGACGGTGCGTTGGCATCACCTGTGACTAAAATGGATTTAATGTGATCCATTGAATCAGTTCAATGTTGCTTTGTGAATATTGAGAACAAGATAACCGTTTTGTTTGGTTAGGTTGACTTATTTTATATTTTCCAACACAAAAATGTTTCATCTGAGCGAAAAGTTTCTCTTTTCAAGGTGATGTAACTCAGGAAAACCTCGCTAAGAAACAGTGTTTTCTGATGTTGCATCTCACGAAAAAGTAACTCCTCATGCAAAAGTGTTTCTTTCAAAACGTTGCGAGGAATTTGCTTTCTCGAGGTCTGCTTGATTTTTTTTTTTTTTTTCTTTCTTTTCTCTCTCAATACATAATTATATAATTCTTGTTTCTGCTTTGGGTCTGTTTCCCTGCAGGGTTTCTTTCGGCGGACCATCCGTCTGAAGCTGGAGTACGACAGGTGTGAGCGCCGCTGCAAGATCCAAAAAAAGAACCGCAACAAGTGCCAATACTGCCGCTTCCAGAAGTGCCTGGGCGTGGGCATGTCCCACAACGGTGAGTCCTGCAGATGGTGTGTGTTTGGGCAATGCCAACACTGTCATGCAGAAAACTAAACACACTGAGCCGGCTAAGAGAACCGAGCAGGCTGCTGCTGTTGCTATGGAAACTTGAACAGCAGCTAAAAGCAGTTTAGTGTTATATTTTTAAAGCTGTGCACCTTGGTAACCTCAACCAGCTTATAGGTTTATAATGGATCAAATGAAGCTCATATCTTATAAAAAAATAAAATAAAATAAAATACACATGCGATACTGTATATTTCAGGACTTTATTTCTGTTGACTGATTATTATACCTCACAGCTGCGCCTTCGACAAATGAAAGGGAATTTTTGTCAATCGTTGGTGCTACGTTTCTGCCGATGGATGGATGGATGGGCGAGTTGACCTCTGGTGACCTCTAACGTATTTTTTTGTAAAATCTTAAAAATTGTAACGGCACAAATGGAAAACTTTACAGCACAGACATGGCAAAGTTGACTGACACCACAGAGCCTTTGATTTCATGAAGGTGTCGGGGCTGATTGACCTTTGACCTCTGGAAACATTTATTAATATCTTTAAAATGATAGCGGCAAAAACTAAAATTTCTTCTGCACAAACATTTGATACCAATTTAAAAAGCCTTTCCTGCTGTTTCCGATTTTGGCCAATGCACATTTTTAGCACGAAAAGTCACTAAATATGGCAACGAAGTTGCTGCATTGCTGCGTTGCTGCATTGCTGCGTTGCTGTGTTGCTGCACTCCTAACACCGTCACACACTGATATCGCAACAATGACACCTTTTCAACATATTGTGAATTCTCAGTGTGGTATAGATGTGATTAGTCTGTGGTTCTGCTGAAGACGCTCAGGAAGTTCAACATTCATCCTCTCTGCTTTGTCACAATGTTACCATGGCGATTGAGGCAGATGTTGGTAATATTTTCAGCATGTTCAGGCGTAAAGTCCTGCTGGAAACTGAAATCACTACCAAGTTTGTCAGCAGAGGGAAACACACTTTTTCTTTCCTCTCAACTTTCTATAAAAATGCTTGGATGCTGAGCTGCCAGGCAGGATTTTTTTAAGCTTAAAAAAAAGTACATGATACGTTTAAAAAATAAAAATAATCATTAATGTAGATGTGTCCTTGAGTGTTAACACGGCAAGTAGCTGAATCCAACAATTGTAATAGTAATTTTCATTTATCTGCTTAACCTTCGAATTGAAAATTAAATTGCAACATTTTTGTGCAGCGTCTGAGTTTTTGAAAGCCGGAGTTTATTAAAAGTTCGTTATTGTAGAGACTTTGTGAAACATCATATCTAACCGAGCGCGAGGCGTTAACTCGGAAAGTGCATCAGTCGTCATCACTGGCATCTTGAAAAGCAACAAACTGCATCTTTTCCCAGCATTTCTCCAGTCATTCCTCAGCTCCCGTCCCTGTTGTCACCGCCCGATGAATTGCTCTCTACTGCTGATTGCAATTTTATTTAATTTTTTTACACTTTCTGTTGGTATTGGCACTGCGACAGGAACATAGTTTTAGAAAGCCGGCTTATAAAAGTTAATTTTTATTCTCTGAAAGTGCAGTGAGTCACTCTTTAGGAATAGAAAAAAATCTAAAGCTTCTGGTAAATGCTGCTGTACGCAGGAGGCCGGCAACCTCAAAACTGTGATCAGATGTTAAAAAAATAAGGTACTTCGATGCAGGTCGTAGAGGAAATAACTGATGTGTGTTTGTGTGGGTTTACATAGGAAGTTTGCACACTTCGAATCAGCACTCCACGCTGTACGGAGACTAAAAAAACTGTATTTTGTTTATTTCTTTTACTCATTTGCGTCTTGAAGGTTGTCGAAACTTTGATGCTGATGGTCCTTTAATACTCAGCAACTTGTAGTAGTATTTGAGTCAGCTGTGGTCCTGCTTGCAGCCTGTGTATAAAATTTCATGAACCTAAATGTAACCAGAGGGGAAAGACATTTTAGATGAGAGCCATCTGATTCTGTCCTCGGCACATGCAGCTAATTTTACATCAACGACTGATTGATTCCACAGTTGAGTCTCCGTGTTGCATGAAAACTTGTCGTCCCTCTGCACAATTAGGAAACATTTCTAAATGATCATAACGGAAGCGTTCTTCAAAAGCAAACTATCGTTTTCTAATTCGGTCGGTGTTTCGAGAGAGTTCATTTATAAGCAAAGAGTTTTTGTTTTTTTTGGGGGGGGATACCGCAGGGCGCTGTGCTCTCACCAGTACAAAACAAACTCATCATCAGCAAACTCACTCGGACGACTCAACAGAGCGTCTTCATTCAGAGGCTTCTTCAAAACCGCTGGAATACAGACTGTTACAGGAGATGATCTACAACTCTCTCTTTGAAGGAAACTGTATAATATGAGTTACAACAACCTTTAATTTCCTTCTGGGATTAGTGAAGGCTTTTTGGATTGAATCTAATTAAATAGGCGACCATTTCTACTGGTGACTCCTCAAAATGGGAAAGATGGTAAAGAAAGTAAGTGCCGCTCTTCATAAATTGGTAAGTTGCTTCGAGAGAATACCTTATCTTTACGTTGCCATGTCTGCAGTCAGAGCTGGAAAATAGAAACGAGGCTCGCCAAAGGCCCAAGTTTCTGTCTGAAGGACCGCAGGGGAAACGCTGATTTGTTTTGCGTGAGATTATTCCAATGGAATAAAATGCCATTTTGGACCAACGCGTTTTTTCACATCGCAAATGTGGGTAACAACAATACCCCGCGTCTCAGCCGCTAACGAGACAGATCGCTGAAATGGACGATTGGACAGAACCGATCCGGCCGTCTCCCAACCGCGTCCAGCTTCCTTACCCGCTCCGCTCCCCCCTCACACGCTTCATCTGCTCATGTCGGCTCGCGGGGAGCGGGCTTAATACCGAGCTGAAAGCCAATCACTTCACATCTTGATTCGACTCGGCTCCTTACGAACGTCTTCAGATGATCTTGCTTTGTGAGCGGCAATCTAACGAGGCCCCCTCCGTCCCCAGTGTCGTTATCCGGGTCAGGAGCCGCATCCCGGCTCGGTCCCACTCCGTACTCGAACATGAGGCGGGTCAACAGAGAAATCAGGTCCTCCTTTATGGCTTTATGGTACAATAAAGGCAGGGTGCAGCTGAACGCTGTGTGTTCTGAGGGAGATGTGTGTGTGTTTATCCGTACGTGGACAACAGCCTGGCCTCATCAAATCCATTAAAACCTGAGACACCCGTCTTAACGTGGGTAAAGAGAGACTTATATGCTGCATTAGGCTCTTATAGGGTTAAACCACAGAGGTGGGGGTCAAAGACAGGTCACCTCTAATCACCATTATTAGCTAAATAGGATCAACCTGTCTGAGAGACGCCATCGCACTTTCATAAGGGACGAGTGGAAGTACGTTTAACTCAAAGGAAGCCCACTTTGTTTTGTGCCGCCTTTATTCAACACTTCCTGGAAGTTAAAAGGATATTTTATTGTGTGAAAATAAAAGGATTTGGCATCAACGCAGTGTTTAAAAGATAAGAAAGAGGAGAAATAAAGTGATTTACTTAAAAATAATCCACTCTTACCACTACTGCTAAAATCGTCAATTATATTTGTAATTAAAATAGTTAATAATCAACATTTCTTTTGCCTGGAAGCAATTTTTTTAAGAGGCTCCTAGAGATTACGGTGATTGCAAAGAAGCCTTCAAACCTGGAAGACTTGGAGGTCATGAAAAACATAATTAATTAAATTACAATTGGAAACATAAAAAAAATCTGCTCAGTGTTTAGAAACACTTTAAAAACCCGTTGCATTTTTACACAGTTGAAACCAGATATTTACGTACGCTGAATAAAAAGACACAAACACATTTTTTTCTCACTTTCTGAAGTGAAATCAGACCAAACTATTCTTCGTTTTGGATTAGTTTGAATTTCCAAAATTATTTATCTTTGCTAAAGGCCAGAAAACTGAGCGAGATCATTTTTTTAGACATTTTTTTTTTTGGAATGTTCCTCGAATTCAGAAGTTTACTTATATTTGGCCAGTATCCGGTGTAACCAGATACAACGGTTGGGATGCAGCAGGACACGTATTTATACTGAAAGTATCCGGCATGTCGGTTCACCACGAACACGTACCAAACAAATAGAGCATTGTTTCACACCTGAACACATGCAGAGCGTCTGTGTGCAGAAAAGCGACACTGAAACAAAACAGACCGCTTGTTGTCTCATTATTTAGCATTCATAATTCAAAGTCTCTGTTACTACGTTCTTACTGCTATCAGATTCAAACTCCACGCATATTTAGGCCATCTGTTGGTTTCTTTTATGCGGTTTTTTTAGGCTTTAAACGTCAGCAAAATAATATCCGTCTGCTTCTAAATCCACTCTCCGCAGCCATCCGGTTCGGCAGGATGCCCCAGTCGGAGAAGCTGAAGCTCAAGGCGGAGATGGTGACAGGGGAGAGGGAGGTGGTGAACCCCCAGCTGGCTGACCAGAAGACGCTGGCCAGGCAGATATACGAGGCCTACCTGAAGAACTTCAACATGAACAAGGCCAAGGCTCGGACCATACTCACCGGAAAGACCAGCAACCCTGTACGTTGACTTAAAGTGGTGGGTTGGTGAGTGAAAGGCGTTGACTGCACAGGAAACATCGATTAGCTTCTCCCTAAAGAAATTATTTTGGATGACTCTAGAAGTCTGCAACCAAAGAATCGTCTCTGTGTGACACAGGGCGTCCACACATCCATAACAAGTCTTAAATTAAGGTCATTTTTTAAAAAGTAAGTTGGCCTTACATACGTTAATCACAAATCTTAAACGTCTTCATTTCATATATGGTATGTTTTATCTTCTTTTTTTCTCTGGACTTTTCTGTCAGGCAAAAGTTTGGGTCACTCTCAGACACCTTCATTGCGAATGACTGCCAACATAGCCTTCCTAGCTAGCTAGCATTTTTGTCTACAATGGGTAAATGGAAATTTATCACCAGTTGGCTGGACGAAGTTTGTACATTTCTGTGGATACATGTGGTAAATTTCATTCATATTAGTCTTAAAAAGTCTTACATTTTTTAACTCAAGGTCTGGAGTATCTTTTTTACCACAAGAAATGACAAAAAGGACTCTCTCTCTCTGGGTGGTCTCTACAATCGTTCCCTTTTTTCTTTCTTTGTTCATTGAAGTGGGGAAAAAGTGCTTGAATTCGGGTCAGAAGCCAAAACTGGTTGAAAACTGGTCAGATGGATGTTTGTGGGTGTAAAATGGGTCTGGAAGGACAGGACGAGTTTCCATCCGTGTTCAGACATACAGTAGATTTTACTGAGAGCCTTTGGAGATCAAAACGCCTGGTGAAAGCAGTAGCTGGGATGTACTCGGTTGGAAATGTGCGCATTTGTAGATCAATAGTTTTACTTTTAAAATCTTTCATATTGCTAGGAGTACAAAATAAGGATTATGCTCCTAATAAGCCCTAGAGTTACCATCATTTATGAGTTTTTTTTTTTTTTTTTTTTTAAATCTACCTGATGTCTAATCATCAGCCGCGCTCCTCAGAGAGCTGTGTGTTAGTAAGTCCTGTTTTTGGGATAAAGTTCTCCTGCTACACACCTTGGTGAGCCCCTGACTTTTCCCCTCATTTCAAAGGTGCGTGTTGTTTTGAACTAGCATAATATGCTGGTACGCTAGCAGCCGACATAAACAGCTGCGGAGCTTAAATAGAAGCAAAGAACACCCATTACGTCCTGGAACATCATTTCCGTAAATAGCGGCACAGGCCAAAGTTGTGGATGTCTTTCTACTCAGCCGTGGGCATTTCGTTTCAGGTCTGCTGGAACTTTGTTGCGTTTTCTCCGTCTGCCCTCTCTGCTTGCATAAAGACTGTAGGTGCGAAGCAGATGGAGGTTTGTCCACACTTTCCCCTTTGGCCTCCTGTTAAATCAGTTCTTCAGCAGCTGATGTAGCCTCTCATCTCTGCTTCCAGTACTGGGTCCCTCCATCA